TACTATCACTTAAAGTCACCATCCCTGCACCAGCACACTGTGGAGCACAGGATGGACAGGGTCGAAATAGTCAGTCAAATTGTCGCTAGGTAAGCTGACCAACATAAACGCGCAATAAGCAATGCGGCGCGAAACCTCTTAGCACAGTACCTCGCAGACACCAGAAGCTGTTTCCTGCAGTTGCAAGAATTTCCTCACAGTCATGATGCCTGCAGTGTCTTCAAAGAATATACAATTCAGCAAATGCCTCGTTTTACCCGAAAATCCCGTTTCATGAAGATATTGGCTATCTTTGAAGACAGCGTATGTAGCTAACGCAAGTGACCTTGATGGTTTGGATCGATTTTTCTGTATGAATTCAATTCTGCAATTTATCATTCGTTGTTTTTGGATTGATTTTTCTGTATAAATTTAATTCTGTAATTTCTCATTCGTTATTCTGTTTATGCAGCGAGTGGAAGCGGCCGATGAGCGCCATTAAATTCTGCTACATACGCTGTCTTCAAATTTGTACCTGGGAAACGATGCTTCAAATATTGGCTATCGCTGAAAATAAAGGCATACCCAAAATTCTAGTGACTGTGTAACCGTTGTTAGGCCCTATGAGAGAGAGGGGGGGAAAGCTATATTTAGAATGTAAAATCTTAAACTACTCTTAATACTGGGTATGTCGCTCTAAACACATCCACCTAGTCTTGTGAACATCTTCATTGTACTTATCGCAACAGGATGTGAATACGGACGATTCCGCCGGCAGCCGCGTTAAGGTTTACATATGGTAAAATAAGGTAGACGAGCTAGCTATTAAATGTGGAACAAAATCTGAAACTATGTTTTAGATTAGAAAATATTACGTAAGTGTGGTTGCAATATTAATTATCGTGCAGCAAGATTCCAAAATACATCAGTAACGTCAGGATGGGGGCCTTTGGATGAGCGTCTTTCTGGTCGCTAGAAAAAACTCCACTCTGTTAAAAATGGACTACGCAAGGGGTATCGATTTTTGCATTAATTATTGATAAATGCAAATATCACTCATCGAAAACATGCAGAAAATATGCCTTATTGTGCTTACTTGGCAGCAAATTACATCTTTTTCAAAGTTGATGTTTGGAGAAGAGTCCCTGCTGATACAGTTTTATTTAGTTTCAAAACTACAATTTGTAAGCTTTTCATCTAAGGAAAGTTGCACATCTTTCTATGTTATCAGGAAAACGCCATATAACGCTCATAAAGAGTTACAATGGGCGTGGTCCATGTTGTACACTTTACAAACAGCACTGATATATGGACAGATATGAGACTTTATTAATGAATATTTCACGGCCTTAAAAAATCTCAGAAGTAGTAACGCTTTTAAAACCGAAGTATAGATAAAAGTGTGAGATGTTATCTTCTACAAAACGAGTGCAAGAATATTTTAGTGTACGCTTTCTAAAAGGTATATTT